TCGAGCAGCTCCGGGGAGAGGTGGATTCGGTCAAAGCCGAGGCCGAAGAATGGAAGAAGAACATGGATTGCCTGGCCTCGGAGAAGAAGACTGACTGGGATCAGTTGGCTTCGGGGTGAGGTTTAGCTTCAGGCTGAAAAGGAGAAAAACTTAGTGCAGGCCAAAAAGATCGAGGGGCTTCAGTCTCAGCTGAACTCGGCTGTCTCCGGTCAAGAAAATCTAGCCAAGGAGCTTGAGGCGGCCAAGTCAGAGGTTGTCGTGGTCAGGGCCGAGGCCGATGATAAGGTGGCCTAGCACAAGGCCAATGCCGTGGCAATTTAGGACCAAGCGAGACACAGGGTGAAGCATGCGAAGTGGCAATCCCGAATGGAGGCCCTCGAGGGAGTCCATGCTCAGAATTTTGACTTATTGGTTAAAATCGAGACAGCCAAGATATACGAAGCCAAAGCCAGGAAGCTGGCTTATACCGAGTGAGATTTCGAAGGGTCTGAAGAGTTGGGTGAGTTCTATGGTGGCGAAAACCCCGTAGGTGATGACGTGGCCCTCGATGAAGATTAGGCCGTTTAGGATCTTTTAGGCATTTTTGCCTTTTGTTTTTTGTACTATCTTTTTGTCGAGGCCGTTCGAGCTTTGTAAAAATGTGTATCGGGGCTATTCAGCTCTTGTAAAAAGAAATTTTGACATATATCTAAGGCTTTTCCCTTTCACAACTTTGAATTTTTCCTTTTCTTTTTCATTTGTATTCGCAAAGGTCGTAATGCCTTAGCATAAAATAATTAGGTCGTGTTCTAAGGTTCGAACAAACCTTACCTTTAACATTATTTTGTGTTTAGGCATCGGAGGGATTCGGTGTTACCGAAATGTTTCCCCAAAATAGTTTAGGTTTATAGTTTGCCGAGGGTAGCCTTTTAGAACCGGTTATGAAAATTTTTTTTTTTGAAGGCCTTGTTTTTGTTACGAGTCTCAGACGTCTCCGAGTCGTGTTAATATGGCCGTAGCCTTTTTAGTTCGGGTGTCGCCCAGTGGGCTTTCTTTCCCGAGTTATCCAGGCATGCCTAAGATAACAGTCCCTGAGTGGGGATGGTCGTGGCCTTTGAAATTCGGGCGTTGCCTAATAGGTCTTGTGCCCCCAAGATCTGATAGCTTGGACCGCCCGAGATTATTTTCGGTCGGCATTCCCCGAGTGAGAGTGAATGTTCAAACTCAGATTAAGGTGGCCCTTGGGCTCGATAGCTTTAGGAAATTCCTTGAAAAATGCAAAAAACATTTTAAAGGACAAAATGTTTATGTGCAAGGAAGAGTCTTCTTTTTTATTCTTGTGCACAATAGTTGTACATGTATACATGTTTTGTGCCAGGGTTAGAGCGGTCTGTGTGGGCACGGTTCATTTGACCGTTTGGCCCTTACAATAAGTCTTATTGACCGATACCCTTCAATCACGAAGTTTCTTTCCTTGCTAGAGTCGATATCCGAGGATATTGCCCCTAAGTGTTCGGGGTGACCAAAGAGAGGCCTCGAATGCTTTTGTGGTCATTGTCATTGGTTCGTAGCCGACCTTTAATTCTAAGTTAGCACGATATACTTGTTTCCTCATCAAAAACCTTGCCAGAAAACCCATTTGGGACAAAGCCGGTTCAAGGGAAAAAGTGTGCAGCGCGCGCTTTGAGACCTAGGATCTCGTATCATCCCTTGTTGGTCACCTGCAAGTGCTAGTTTGAAATGTAAAAATAAAAGAAAGAACGATGTCGTACCTTAACAGTAATATCGCTTTAAGTGAGTTATATTCCAGTTGTTCGGTAATTGTTCGCCGTTCATTGTTCCGAGTTTGTAGGATCCTTTTCCGGTGATCTCGATAATTTGGTACGGTCCTTCCCAGTTTAGCCCCAATTTTCCTTCGTTCGGGTTTTGGCTGTTCAGTGTAACTTTTCTTAATACCAAGTCCCCGGTATTGAAGTATCAAAGGTTGGCCCTTCGATTATAATATCTCTCGATCTGCTATTTTTGGGCTTCCAACAGGACAAGGGTGGCTTCGCACCTTTCATCTAATAGCTCCAGGCTCGTACTCATAGCCTCATCGTTCGATTCCGTTATTGCATATCGGAATCTGATGCTCAGTTCTCTGACATCGACCGGTATTAAAGCTTCGGTGCCATAAACCAAAGAAAATAGGGTGGCCCTGGTATTGGATTTCGAGGTTGTACGGTATGCGCATAGGACCTCGGGCAGTATCTCCTTCCATCTTCCTTTGGCGTCGATCAACCTCTTTTTGAGGTTTTGGATTATGGTTTTATTGGTGGATTCTGCTTGTCCGTTCCCACTAGGGTGGTAGGGAGTGGATAAGATCCTTTTGATCTTATGGTCTTCGAGAAACTTGCTTACTTTGCTGCCAATAAACTGTTTCCCATTATCGCACACGATCTCGGTCGGTATTCCGAACCGACATATGATGTGGTCCCAGATAAAATCGATGACTTATTTTTCTCTGGCCTTCTCATATGCATGTGCTTCCACCCATTTAGAGAAATAGTCAGTCATAAATAAAATAAATTGAGCCTTATCGGGTGCCCATAAAAGGGGGTCGACGATGTCCATTCCCCTTTTAATGAATGACCATGGTGACAAAACCGAATGCAGCAGCACCCCAGGTTGGTGAATTATCGGAGCGTGTCTTTGGCATTCATCACATTTTTGAACGATCTCCTTTGCCTCTTTTTCCATTCGATCCAGTAGTAACCAGCTCTGATTAGTTTTGGAACTAGTGATTCGGCACCCAAATGATTTCTACAGGTACTTTCGTGGATTTCCCTCAAAACGTACTTAGTATCCCTCGGCCCTAGAAATATTGCAAGTGGGCCATTGAATGTCTTTCTGAACAGGGTTCCATCTTCGGACATGCTAAATCGGGCTGCCTTTTTACGCATGGTCCTCGATTCATTAGGGTCCGAGGGCCGTTTTCTGGTGCTGAGATATTCCACATACTTATTCCTCCAGTCCCAAGTTAGGCTCGTTGAGTTGATCTCGGCGTGGCCTTCTTCCACCACCGATCTCATAAGTTGTACGACTTTTCCCGAGTTGATCTCGTTATCTTCGACTGATGATCCCAAGTTAGCGAGGGCATCAGTCTGAAGATCATCATTCAAAATCTGAAGAAAAGATTGAGCGACGCTAAGGGAAAATGGAGAGAAATATTGCCCGAAGTCCTTTGGGTGTATCGAACAACGTCAAAATCCAGTACGGGGGCAACACCGTTCTCTTTAGTATATGGCGTTGTAGCTCTGATCCCGGTTAAAGTCGGGGAACCGAGCGTCAGGTTTTGATATACAACGAAAGAGTCAAATCATGAGGCTATGAATAAAAACCTCGAATTGCTAGATGAAAAATGGGAAGCCGCCCTCGTTCGAATGGCCGCACAGAAACAACAGATCAAAAGGTACTACAATCGAAGATCCAATCTTTGACACTTCAAAATCGGGGACTTGGTTCTGAGGAAGGTCACCCTCAATACTCGACACCCAAACAAAGGAAAACTTGGCCCGAACTGGGAGAGACCATACCAGGTCCTCGATATCATCGGAAAAGGATCCTACAAACTTGGCACGATGAATGGCGAACAATTACCAAATAATTGGAACATATCACTCCTCAAACGATATTACTACTAAGGTATGACCTTCTCCATTTTCGTTTATATTTTATACTAATCATTTGCAGGTGTTTGATTAAAGACATCAAAGGATTCTTCAAACACAAAGTCCTTAGGTCTGAAAGCACGCGTTGCACTCTTTTTTCCTTAGACAGGTTTTTGTCCCAAATGGGTTTTTCCGGCGAGGGTTTTAGCAAGGCAACCATTGTTCGTGCTAACTTAGTGCAATTCAACAGTATCCGAAGCTCCTTTACAATTAACCTCGAATATTGAGGGGCATCACCTTGGGATAGTTACAAGAAAAATATTTCATACCGACAGGGTCTCGATAGGAAAATTTTGTAAGGGTCAAATGGTCGAACGAACCTTGCCCATGTAGATTACTCGAACCCTAATGGCAAACATGTAAGCATGTTAATCTATTGAAAAAAGTATTTTTCCTTGACAGATATTTCATGCCTTAGAGAAATTTTTACTTTACAATGCCGTGCTTGTGATCTATTATGGAAACTGGCTTAAGGGCCGATCATAACTAAAGCTCGAATAATTGACCCCGCACTCGGGGACTGCCATCAAAAAAATCGACATGATCGAATTACTAAAACCTCGAGATCGTAAGACCTTAAAAAGGCAACCCTCGATTTTATAATCCACGGCCACCCCACTCGGGGACTGATACTTCGAACAAGTTTGAAATATAACAGGGAAACAATCCCAAAAGACGAATCCCAAGTTAAAGGCTTCGGCCAAATTAACACGGTTCAGAGATGTCCGATTTCCGTTATAAAACAGGCCTTCGAATATTTTCATAAACCAGTTAAAAAGGCTACCCTCAGCTGAATTACTAAGGGTCTCGATAATATCGACCCTCGAAAACCCTAATTGGTACAAAATCGTTCAAACTCTCGAACAAATTCTTTATTTTATGCTAAGGCATTACGAAACAAAAGGGTCTCGATAATATCGACACTTAAAAACCTTAATGGGTATGGAACCGTTCGAACTCTCGAGCAAATCGCTTATTTTATGCTAAGGCACAACAGACTTTATATGATTAAACAAATAAACTTTTTAAGCCGAAAAAGGGGGAAAAGCCATTCTTTTTACTATGGCCGTATCGGCCTAATTCAAGAGCCTAAAAGGCCATTTTATTTTTGAGTTCGAGAAATCATCCTCACTCAATTAAAACCTAAGGGTCACCCTACTCCGAGTTCGAGCAAGTACTCACTAGATTATAAAACTACACTAGTCCAACTTCGATCAAACTGCCTAAGCCTCGAACTTATGAACAAAATTTTCATAAGGCATGAATGAAACAAAATTTTCACGAGGCAAAAAATGAAATAAAGACAAGTCGGAAAGGAAAGAGATGTTTATATATATGAGAATATTTACAAGGTCCGATCAGAATCCTACACAAAAGATCAAAAGTGAAAAATCCTAAGGTTCCTAATTTTCTCCGGGGGCGGCTTCTTCTCCATCGAGGTCCTTCCCTCTCTCGGACCTGCTCTTGCTCTCGGCGTCGTCATCATCATCGGAGGCCAGCGCTCCAGCATCAGCTTCATGCTCTCTAGCCTTTATTATCTCGTTGGTAAGATCGAAACCTCGAATGTGGATCTCCTCGAGGGTTTCCCTCCGAGATTGGTATTTGGCGAGTTCAATAATCCAATATGCTCGAGTTTGAGCGGTCTCAGCTGCCTCTCTCGCTTGGACTTGAGCGGCTTCAGCATCGGCCCGGTAGACAGTCACGATCGCATTTGCCTCGGCTTTAGCCTATTCAGCTTCATATTTGGCCTTTGCAAGTTCGGAAGCCAACCGAGTTCGAGCTCCCCTATTTTCTTTTCCTCAGCCGAGATTTTCTCCTTCATGCCTCGAAGCTGACTTTCGGTCGATGACAATTGGGATAAAGCAATCTCTTTTTCTGCAGTAAAGCGGTACATGCCTTCTTTCCACCCCAAGGTCTCCGCCTTTATCAAATTGACCTCCTCGCGGAGCTGCTAGATCCTCTCGACCTTCTGCTACAGCTGTGAGATTGAAATGTTAGCCACCATTACCGTATCGAGCACATGAGTTTTTAAGATTTTCATTACCTGCTCGATCCGGTCGGTCTGATCTTGGTGAGCCTTGGCTAACACGGCTCGAAGATCCTTGGTCTCCTCTTCTTTTTGCCCACAGAGAAGTCTAAGGGAATTTCTCTCCTCCGTGAGCCCTCGGAAGTCGGCCTCATACCGATTCAGCTCAGCTCGAGACCGAGAAAATGATTCCCGATGAAGCGTTGAGGCCTACGGAGAAAGAAGAAAAGAAGTTAGACAGAAAGAGAAAAATAAACACAAGGATAATACCAACAAGGGGAGTTAAGTCTTTGGCTCATGCATAGATATTAAAACTGAAACATGAGGGTAAGTGTCTTCGTCAATAAACCACAAGACTCATGCATGCCAGCAAATCTAATTAAAATAAGCCAAAGACCACACCTTAGAAACAAGGGGATAAGATCGGAGTTGTGGTCAGGGAATTTCATGAAAATCATAAAAAAGAAGAACTTGTCACTTTGTTGTATTCTGAAAAAAAAGTTAATATCAATGTAATATATCCTTATAGCTAAAGCAACTTTATTTAAGTAAGATCTCTATCACACTGATATAAGTCGTTTTCTTTCTTTTAAGGGAAGTGATATGATATCTAGCATTAGATTATTTGATGCACTTGGCACTAAGTAAACGATTTCACACGAGCATCTGCTTACGTATTTTACCAAAAATTTTGAAAAAGAAAACAACAGAGAGGTCATTCTTAGTAATAACTTGCTTATTAGTACCAAGTGATATGAGGTCGGTCTTGCATCTTTCTTCCCTTTTATGTACAAAAAACAAAAGAAACTCCACCATTCAAGTCGTTGTCCATAGACCAGTCAGCCCGGCCATTCTACATGACAGTTTTGTTTAACCTCATAATCGGATAACAATTGAATTTGTTAGTGATTTAAAAGATATACGGATTAACTTGATACAAAGCGATAAATTAGATTGCAATTGAAATAAATAATGATAAATTAACCATAAACCACATTGTATACGGTCGAAATAGATTTCAGCCTTGGCATGTCCGGTACGGTTCGAAGGGTGGTGTATCGAAGTAAGATCCCGAAGGGGGCACGAACTAACCTATAACCCGGGGAGGCCGGTCCGTGATGAGATCGATATCATAATCAAACTCGAACAAGAATCGAACTATGACGCGGGTAAATCTATCATGCTGATAATCCAAAAACCAACCTACATCGACCTGGAATCAATTCAAGGGCTCGAACCGGGGTCGGGCTCGAACCAAGATCACGAATTCGAGCCGAAATCAAGCTCGAAACAAAATCGAGGATTCTAAGCAAGATCGAGCTCGCAGACAAAAGCCGTTGTAATCCACTAGAGGAAATTTTGGCAGAAATTATGGAAAAGCTGATTTATCATGGGTCTCCCACTGAATGTTTATTTTATTATGCTTGGAGCCAAATCTCTCCACTATAAAAGGGTTTGGTTATCATTTCTATAAAGACATCTTTTTTTCTAAGATTCACACTATAACAAAAGTATTATTTCCTCTACAAGAAAGAGTGATCATTACAGTTTCTTAAATTGATTCTATTTTTGTTAAATCCTAAGGTTCACTATTCGTGATTGCCTTGTCTAGATTACTTTTTCTCCAATCTATATTCACATTTTTATTTATCCTTGCATTTTGTGTTAAGTTGTACCACATATCTTCGGAGCTGCGTATAAATTCAACTCTATCTATTTTTCGGGTAAACAGTTTGGCGCCCACCGTGGGGCCGAGGATAACAGTGGTCACTTATTTCCGAAAATATCTTCAATTCAGGCTCGGCTACGAATAGCCACCGACCGAATGACTTCACCAACCGATTACGAAGCTGGCCTTCAAGATGAAACCAACGACTTAGCACTACCCGAGATTCGAGCCGAAATACCACTGGATGTCAATTCACAAATTGCTTTGGAAGCGAACCAGCATTCCGAATTGGAAATNGTATAATGCCAGGGTCGATCAAATCCCGGGGGCTCCACCAATGATAAAAGGGCTTGATTCAAAAGAATTCATACAAAAGCCTTTTCCGTCGAGTGCGGCACCGAAGCCGATCCCCAAAAAATTCCGTATGCCCGAAATTCCCAAATATAACGGTACGACCGATCCTAACGAACATGTCACCTCTTACACATGTGCCATAAAAGGCAACGATTTGGAAGACGATGAGATCGAATCCGTGCTGTTGAAAAAGTTAGGGCAGACCCTCTCGAAAGGAGCTATGATTTGGTATCATAATTTACCACCGAATTCCATCGATTCTTTTGCCATGTTGGCAGATTCGTTCGTAAAAGCGCATGCTGGTGCCA